AACTCCTACACAGAAAGGCGGGGGCAGGACAGAGTATTATTTCTAGGTTTTACAGCTGGCTTTGGGGCAGAGGGGTTCTGGTTTCTGTGACCTGCCTTGGGGAAGAGGAATTCTAGTTTCCATGGCCTGCCGTGGGGAGGAAGGAGAGCAGGAGAAAGGCAGAAAGGGACTTAGTTTCCGAGGCCCTTCCAGTGTCTCCTTCGGTTCAAAGGACTCAGCATGCCAAAGCCCCATAGTTTGGGGACTCATTTTCTGAGCCCCAACAAATTCGAGGGAAGAATAAAGGTAAAAATCAAGATCAACCAAATGTAACTCCAAAGTAATTGAACCCTCTTTGTTCATCTCATCTTTTTTTTTTTTTCCCTTGAGACAGAGTTTCACTTTGTCCCTGGGTAGAGTGCAGTGGCATCGTCATAGCTCACTGCAACCTCCAACTCTTGGGCTTGAGTGATCCTCCTGCCTCAGCGTCCTGAGTAGCTGGGATTACAGGCATGTACCACAAAGCCCAGCTAACTTTTCTCTTTTTAGTAGAGAGGGGGTCTCACTCTTGGTCCGGCTGGTTTCAAACTCCTGAACTCAAGGGATCCTCCCTCCTCAGGCTCCCAAAGTGCTAGGATTACAGGCATGAGACACTGCACTTGGCCTCTCATCTCCTCTTAAGGCCAGTCTCAAGCCTGGTCACACACAAAACCCTTCTGACTCGAGGAAGTATCTTGGTTTAATGAACATTTCCTGCAGAGATGGGAGAATCATCTCATATATCACAAAGGAAAACCTCCCTTTAAAGTCTCTTTCCCCAAAACAGTCCTCTCTCCTCAACAGCTGAATTTTCTCTCTCTCCTTATCAACACTCTCCTCACCAGCCTCTCTTCCCATTGCTCCTGGTCTTGCTTTCTTCCCCTTGCAAATTTTTAGTAGACAACATGCACACAGCTTAGTTAGTAGAATTCCGCTTCGTCCTACTTTACATATAAATATTACTATATCCAATACTTCATTCTTGGGCTAGTTAAACTCTGTTTATAAATGTTCCTCCCATAAAGCTTCCTATTTTGAGCTGGTTCTTCTGCTGTAAATATCAAACTCTCCTCCCCTGACCCCAACTCCTGACTTAGTTCTCTTCCTGGGTATCATTTCCAGGAAAACTGTTAGGTCCAGAGCCGAGAGAGAGACACACAAAGCTTCATGTGTAGCAAAATGCTGTTTATTTTGAGCATCTGGGTGCAGGTGGGTGGAGGCGAAAAAGCGTCCACACCAAGGGAGGGGAGAGTCTTGGGTTTTATAGAGGGTTTCTCCGGGGGGAGTAGGTAAGTATATTACAATTATAAATTCTTTTTCAAACAACCAGCTCACAGGACACCTGCCCCAGTCACATCCATCCTTCAGCTCGGTGTCATCCTTATCAGGAGAGATAGGGAGGGATAAACTTCGTCCCTATGGGGGTGGTGGGGTGGGGGGAAGGAATGCTGCCTGCAGCTGTCTGTGAGATTTACAGCCTCTGGGGACTCTCCAGACTCCTGCAACTATTGTTTTACAAGCCTAAGTTTTCCATTAATTGCATTCTGTCCTATACACACTTTTCGGATTCCCACCTGGGACAAACCTAACAGAAACCACGACAAGCAGTTGTAGTAATTGCTCTGATTAACTGTTAAATCCCCTGGCACCTTCTTTCCCACTCTCTTGAGCATTTTGGCGGAGTTTGTTTGAGTCACACTTCCTACCCTACCTCCCTAGGTGCTTAGATTAGCATTAAGAGCGGCAGGGTTCTGGCTCTATAGTGCCACCATTACTAGCTGTCTGATCTTGGATAGATTACCCAGCTCCTCTACGTCTCAATTTCCTAATCTGCAACCTTGGGGAAATAACAGTTACCTTTCTCTCAAGGTAATTGTAAAGGTTAAATGAGATCAACCAGAGCATTTATGACACTTACGGGCTCATATCGAGCCCTGGATGAGTGTAAGTTATTATATCTCTCTGCCACCAAATTCTGCTTCATCATAACATTTTATTCTTAAAACCATTGCATTAACAATACATACAATACCTTTTGCCTGTAGTGCGCGCACACACACTCAATGTTATTCAATCACAATACCTATATAATAAATTGCAAAGGGAAGTATCTCATAACATATCAAAGTCTTCGGATAAACACCTAATGATCTGGACTTTAAAATGATGTGTTCATGCAGTGCTCTTGAAGGAGCAATGTTCACTTCTTGATAGCAGAACAAACCTGACCATGGGGCGGGGGCAGTCCAGCCCTTAACAGTGTACACAGTGCTTTTCACAGCCGGAGCACCTTTAGTGCTCCCGACAGCACTGTGAGGTGGCATTATTACGCCAGCATTGCAGACATAGAAACTAAGTTCTGCAGGGTTTAGGAAATTTGCAGAAGAGATGCTAGTCACACTAGCAGGATGGAGTCAGATTGGAATCCAGATCTTCTGACTCAATGTCTTCTGATTTCCAAATGCTTTTGCTATGTGACCATGCTGAGTCACAGGCCACGTTTCACTGTATCTGGCTTAGTAACTAAAATAGATGATTAGAGTTAACATAAAGAATAATTTTGTTACTCATTACACACTTATTAAGCAACCCCTGTGTATGGCTAGTGAGGGAAGAGCTAAAGAAAAATAGATCTTTGCTCTTTCAAAGATAAGTTTGTAATAAAAGAGACATGGCTGTGGGCAGAAAAAATACTCAGACTCTTAGAAAGCCATGTAACAATCCCTTATGAATTGCAAGCTGCATGCTATTTCACATTTTACTGTCTCTGGATGCATTTAAAATCGATTGGGTGTCATAGTTTACTTGGTAGCATTTGTTTTCTTTCTTGGTGGCACAGATATTAATAACAGTGCCTCTTAAAATCAATAGCATTTTAGAGAAAAGGAAATATGAAATAATTAAATGGGAATTTATTTTATAGCAATGAACAAATATTTGTTAAAAAGCAAATCTTTTTGTTGGTGGTTAATAAAGTCACTATCTGTTACTACAAAACTAGAGGTCATCAGTACCAGTATTATTGATTGCCACTGCCTGGCTCAGGCTCAACTTCCCCTTTCTCACTATGACAGCACAGCAGGAGGTCCCTAAGTGCAGGGTTTGAGAAGCCTTCACAATTAGACTAACAATTAAATTAACAATTTCAAATGACAATATAACCAATAGGTAAAAAATACATAAACAATCCTCATATAGGCAGAATATTAGAACAAACAAAATAAGTGAGTTCAGACAGAAGGACCATATGGTGTTCATGGGACACAGTGTATGAGGTACACTTCAGAGAAGTCTAATTTCAAGGGTTGGCCACCGTGGTGACTCACACCTGTAATCCCAGTGCTTTGGAAGACCAAGGTGGGGGGATTGCTTCAGGCCAGGAGTTTGAGACCAGCCTGGGCAAGGGCAACATAGCCAGACCCCCATCTCTACAAAAAATAAAGAAAAAAAATTCAGCTGGTTGTGGAGGCTCAGGCCTGTAGTCCCAGCAGCTTGGAAGGCTCAGACAGGAGGATCTCTTGAGCCCAGGAGTTTGAGGTTGCAGTGAGCTATGAGGACACCGCTGCACTCTAGCCAGCATGACAGAGTCCCTGTCTCTAAAAAAAAAATTTCAAGGGGTGAGTCTGGCCAGGAGCGATGGCTCATGCCTGTAATTCTAGCACTCTGGGAGGCCGAGGCAGGTGGATCGCTCAAGGTCAGGTGTTTGAGACCAGCCTGAGCAAGAGTGAGACCCCGTCTCTACTAAAAATAGAAAGAAATTGGCTGGACAACTAAAAATACATAGAAAAAATTAGCCGGGCATGGTGGCGCATGCCTGTAGTCCCAGCTACTCGGGAGGCTGAGGCAGGAGGATCGCTTGAGCCCAGGAGTTAGAGGTTGCTGTGAGCTAGGCTGAAGCCACGGCACTCTAGCCCGGGCAACAGAGTGAGACTCTGTCTCAAAAAAAAAAACAAAAAAAAAAACAAGGGGTGAGTCTGAGGGGGAAGCTGCCCTAGTGGAGAGACCAGTGTGGCACAGAGGCAGGCACGTACCTCTATAAGTAGTGTCATATGTAGATGTATGTGTAGGTCTGTAAAGGCCAGGGAGACAGAGTACAATCAGAGCATTATGGACATTGATGCCAGAGACACGGGTTCAAATCCTGACCAAGGTGCATAGTGGTGTTGACTTTAGAAAAGTTATTTAATTATCTTGGGCATCAGTTTCCTCCTTTGTAAAATGGCTACGGAATATTTCTTTTAGTCGATGTGAGGAGTGCAGATAATATTTTACAAATATTAATACTTGCCAGGGAGCAGGCAGGCACTCAACTCAATAGGTGGTGATAAAATTGATTAGGTTTTTGAATAGAAGGAGTGAATGAGCAAAGCTGTGCTTTAGGGAGGTAACCTGGAACCTGTGATTAAAACGGATGGTAGGAAAGAAAGCGGTAAGCAGGAAATTAGTTAAGATGTTTTTCAATGGGAGGTAACGGGTGAGGGGCGGGGGGGTAAACCAAGGTCTCTGTGCGTGGGGATGCGGCGGGGGTGGGGCGCGGAGGGAGGGCTACGAGGACTCTGAACTCGGCCGCCGCAGCACCTGCGGGACAGGGACAGAGCCTTCGGGCGGAGGCCTGGAAAAGCACGTGAAGAATCCGGAGGCTCGAAGTCTGGAGCCAGGTACGTGGGCGAGGACGCGGCGGAGGGCGGACAGAGGTCTGGGGGAAGGTCCTAGGAAGCTCCCCACCGCCGGGGGCTAAATCCTGTCCCGTCGAGAATCTGTTTCCAGGTCCCCAGAGATTTGGTGAGGCTCAGTATAAGAGGAGGGGCCGACGCAGGGGACGGCCGGGTGCCCGCAGCCCGGCTCCCTCGCCGCATCCCCGCGGGCGCCCGGAGGAGGCGGAACGCAGCCCGGCTGCGGGTCGCTCGCTCCCGGCCAGTCCCCGGCCCGCCTCCCCCGCCTCCCGAGCGCAGCGCCGCTGGGCGGAGCCGGAGGAGCGCCCGCCCTGCAGCCAGTGCGTCCGGAGCGCGACGGCGACAACATGTTGGGCATGATCGGGAACTCGCTGTTCGGGGCCGTAGAGACATGGCCTTGGCAGGTCCTGAGCAAAGGGGACAAGGTAGGCCCGTAGGGCTGCCGAGGACCTGAAGGACGGCTGCGCCCCACCCCCATCCAGGTCGGGGCTGGAGGGGGCTCTGAGGGACAGGTGGGACGCGAATGTGCCCCGCGCTGTGCGTTCTGGTTTCTGTCGTGGGCGCGACCCTGTGCCGCCCAGCGCTCGGGCCGGGAAGGAGGGCAGTGAGAGGTCCCGTGCAACAGGCCGAAGGGCGCAGCTGGGAGGAGGGGGACAGAGAGGAGAGGGTGACTTTTGGGGAGACGCCCAGCTTGGGGAGTTGGGCACTGCATGTTGAATGCCGTCGTTCACTGAAACATTCTGAACAATTTTGGGTTTTGAGAGACACTGGGTGCAGAAATGACTGACAAAGGCCTTGTTGGCAAGAAACTCCCCAGTACTGGAGAACGAAGTACAGCAATCCTCCCTCTTATCTGCAGTTTCAGTTACCAGAGGTCAACTGCCTCCAAAACTATTACACGGAAGATTCTAGAAATAAACAGTTTGTAGGTTTTCAACTTTGGGCCGTTCTGAGAAACGTGATGAAATCTCGCCACCTGGGACCTGAATCCAACCTCTGTCCTGCTCATCCACGCTGTATATGCTCTCCCCCCACCCCCACTTAGTCGTTCAGTAGCCAGCTGGTTTATCGAACTGCCATGGTTTGCAGTGTTTGTGTTCAAATAACCCTTATTTTACGTAGTAGCCTCGAAGCGTAACAATTGTTATAATTGTTCTATTATGTTATTATTCTATTTTGTTATCGTTGTTAAGCTCTTACTGTGCCTAATTCATAAATTAAACTTTAACATAGGTATGGGGAAAATGTAGTATATACAGAGTTTCAGGAATTATCTCAGTTTCAGGCATCCACTGGGGATCTTGGAACGTATCCCTGAGGATAAGGGGGACTCCTGTATAAAAAACAAGATCTGTGCTGCATAGACATAAATGTGCCAGGCAGGGAGTGCAGGGGAAGGGGCTGTCAGTTTTCCCGGGGGACCGTGATGAGGCCTTCCCAGGAGTCTTGAGCTGGGCCTTGAGGATGTGTAGGAGTGCACACAACAGAATAGTGTGTACAGAGGCCCAGAGCTGTACCATTGCTTTTGGCCGATAGATCTGCTGGTGTTGGGTACCTAGAATACGGAATGAGTAAGGACAGCATAATTGCCATATTCTCCCAAATTTACATCAGTACAGACATGGACAAATTGGACTGCACCCCTGAAAACAAGGAGTCTGCTGCCAGATAGTAATCTCCTTGCAGACAGGTACTTAGGACAGGTACTTTGTGCACTGCCGCTGTATATGGAGCTCTTAGCATGGTGCCCCACTTGTTAAAGGACTGTGTTGCCTGGAGGCTAAGTTCTGATACCTAGTACAAGGATCATCACACAAAAGCCCTCAGCTAGACTCTTCAGGCAGCTAGAGAAGCCGTTCCCATCTCAGTGTTGCTGGTTGTATGCAGAATGAGCAGTTTAGCCCCATAAAAGGTGACACATCCGAATGCCTGCAGCAGCCAGGCAGGTGATGGCAATGAGCGAACCTGGCTGTTATGGACTCTAAGGCCCGATGGGGACTGAGGCAATCAGAGAGAGCACGCAGGTCCCCGTCTACTCAGGGCCACTCCAGCCAGTGTTGCTGAGCAGTGATGTGAACCGATGTTGCCCAATTTTGAAGGAAAACCAGATATCCAGATTCTTCATGTAAAATCTCCCAATTTAAAATTAATTAATCCAACAACCATTTTTTGAGTGCCAGCTGTGTGCCAGGCACTCTCCTAGGCGTTGGGGATAAAGAGTGAAGAAAAGCAGGAAAAACCCCTGCCCTCGTGTAGCTTGTGTTTAGTGGCTGGTGAACAAGTCAGTAGACTGTATCGGATCAGGCGGTGATCAGTGCAGTGGAGAAAGCAAGCAGAGAGGGGAGTGAGTCTCAGGGAGTGCTGCGTGAGGCTGTGGTTTTCAGTAAGGTGACTGTGTCGGTTTCCACTGTTGGCAGCTGGCTGAAATGTTTGTGAACTCCTCAGGGATGCCGTCTGTGGACGTGCCCTGAGGAGGGTTCCTGTTGGTTGTAGCGCCTTAAGAATCCAGACTTTACCCCCAGATCCCAGAGAGCTTTCCTTTCTGCAGCGGAACTGGGGCTCACTTAGTCTTTCTGGTTAATGACGATGGCGAATGCAGGAGGAGGGTCTGGGCTGGTCTGTGGCCTGTGCCCTCGGATTCCTGTCTCAGCCCTTCCCTGTCCTGCCATCTGTCTCAGTGTGGTGTGGGGGCTGGCCCCTGCCGTTTGTTTCCCAGGCTGTGTCACCTGGCTCCCAGCAAGGTGTGCCCAGTGGCTGGCACTGGTGGGAGATAGGAAAAAGGGAGAAACCAGAGCATTTCTCCCTGGCCCCCTTCCCCTCCCCTGTCAGAGCTATACTGCTGCGAGCTTCTCCTCTGTGGCTTCAGCTACACAGGCCACCATGGTTCTAGCTTCTACTGGGTGACCCAGGTATCCGATCTCAGGTAACAGGTAATCCTTCCTCCGTCTCTCCTAGGGTGCTTATTAACCTCTAGGTCGCCTCTCTATCTCCTTTTTGGCACCTCAGCCCCTTTATTACCTGTGTAACCTATTCCTTGCATCAAGGTTCCTCTGTTCTAAATACTGTAGCAGTTTCTGTTTCCTGTTAGCCTCTTACTGATACAGTATCACCTGCCACTAATGTGGTACCTCTGGGATAAATGCAGCTCCCTGATAAGCATCTTCCCTCAACATTGGATGGGAACATGGGGCCATATGGGATATTGTTATCAGGCCGAAGCAAATCATTTAACCCGAATGAGCCTCAGTTTCTACAGCTGTAGAATGGGTACAAAAATATCTTTCTCATCTATTCCCAGAATTACTATGAAAACTTCAATTCTTTTAAAACATTTTATAAACCAGTATACTCTACCAATATAGTAATAGCCATATGTCAGTACTCATCTCAACTTCACTCTTACTCACTGTATGGTCACAGGGAAACTTAGCCTTTCTGAAGCTAATTGTGAGAGAAAATAATCATATCTTAATAGACTGTTTTAAAGTTTAAATGATATAACCAATTATAAGTTATTCAACAGAATACCTAGCACTTGGGCACAGTAATGGTTTCCCTTTACTTTTGCAGGTTACTTCGGGTAAGTTACTTAACATCTCAACTACTCTGAACCTTCAAATTTTTTAACTCTAAGATGAAAATGACAACGCCAATGTGACAATTAATTAAGTAACCAAAGATATTTATAAACCTTTTTTTAATATGCAAATTCAGGATGTTATTATTTCAAAGAGAGCCTCCACCTGAAATTCTCTCTCTTATCCTGGAAAGAGTCTGTGTCAGAAACTGTTGTCCACTCTCCTGGGAAAATGGATTGTATACCATGTGCCCTGTGTAGCATGGGCTTCAGGCTCATCAGATGTTCAGGACTGATTCCAGGCAGTTGGCAGGGGAGACCAGCGCTGCCGCAGAACTTATCAAGTGCCTTCCTCATTGCTCAAGGAGGGAGGAGGGTAGGCAGCTCTCTGTGTTGGACTGGCTACGTATTGTGGATGCTCAGAGCAGGACTGATATTAATAACTGACATCCTTATCGGATTTGTGTCCAGCGAGTGCACATTGCTTAGGACCTGATAGCCTGGGTTTGAATCCTGGCTCCACCGTTTGGCCACTGTAACTTGGGCATGTTACTTAACCTCTTGTTCTCTAGTTTCATCTGGAAATGAAGATTAACACATTGACTGCCATACTAGAAAAAAAAATTTTTTTTTCTTGGGGCCACAGTATTTTATGACAAAAATAGAATAAAAATTTCGAAAACAAAATGATCCTTTCTAAGTCAATGAAAAACTTAATGAAAAATGAAATTTATTGACTTCTATTCATTTAATCCATGTTTTTAGAATTAATTTGTCAATATTAATTGTTAACAATAAGAACATCAACAAGTAAGATTTTCACGAACTAACCGTGGGGTTTTGCCCACGTTTTGCTTCACGAGGCCCCGGGCTCAAAACTAGTGTGAGTTAAATACAATTCACATGGCAGTTAATGTGTTAAAGCACTAACTTCTTCACAGGGTTGTTGGAAGAACTGAATGAATGAATCCATGTAAAGTGTTTACAATAATACCAGACACATAGAAAGTACTCTGTTAGGGTAATTATTATGATCAATCTTTTCTTGTAATGAGAATGGAGGCTTCCAGAATCAACATACATACCCACCACATCAGGTGGCAAGAAAAAAACCCGACCTTACAGGGAACTTGCAGATCCCGTAGTAAGAGGCCTTCTTACAGCACCTTTGTCTGAGACTTGGACTTGACCAAGCTTCCCTTGAATGTTGAAAATTGGTGTTTGTGGCCACAGGCCAAAGTCCTCATCTAGGAACTGATTGGGAGCATAGGCTACCTGGAGATGGGGCAAAGGAGGACTATGATTATGTTCTGTTACACGCAAATGCACTAAAAATGTTAAGTTTTAAGAATCAAGACTGTGTTAATATAGGTACTTTATTCTTTGCAGAAATAGAAAACTCTGGTTAAATTTAAATAGAGCTCCCTGGAGAACTAGAATAGATTTAAAATATCCGCCTCTCAAACCTAAATTTTCACAGTGGTCCAGTGGTTCAAATGAGAGGCTATGGATATAGATGCTGTAAAAACAGGTGGTCCCTGCAGTAGAGCTGGTTTAAGACATTGTGGCCCAGCTTTCTTGCAGGAGATCTTGTCAGTTGAGGTTCTTATTGCTGGCTTAGCCTGGCTATGGCTATTGTATTCTTTGTCACTAGAATAAAACCAGGTTTCATTCTGCAGCCCTCCTTTCCCACAAATATTTGTAGAGTGCTTACAATATGCAAGACACAGAGAGATGCAGTGGTGAAGAGTAGGGGCAGTCCCTGACCCCATGGGTTATGGTTGGGGGTGGGGGGGAATCAATTATTATTTAATTGCAATTACAATAAGTATTGTGTTGTGAAAGTATAAGGGCCTGCGTGAATATCATGGGAAGCTGTTTTAAATTAGAATCCTCCCTGAGGAAGTAACTTTTAGATTGGGGCCTGTTGGATGAGTAGGAAGTCATCAGGAAAGGCAGGAGAAGAACACTCTGGGCAGAGGAAGCAGCAGGTACGGAGGCCTGGGCTGGGAGTGACCACGGCATTAACGGAAAGAGCAGAAGGCCATGGAGGCCGTGCTCAGGGTGTGGCTGGCAAGGTAGGTGGAAAATAAGTGGTGCCTGGATCATCAAGAGCAGGCCAAGAACTTGGTGAATGAGGACTGCTAGGCAGGGGGTTAACTAAAGCGATTAGATTGGGATAGAATGCTCCGTGTGCTCTCGGGGCAGCCTCCACCTCATTCACAGCCTTAGTCTCCCGTACTGATATCTCTGTGCCAGTCTCCTGCAGAGCCCCAGAGCTGGGTGTCCAACTGCCCAGGGGTCTGCTCTTCTGTATCAGGAAGCGGCTGGACTGACGGATATGTTAGGGCCCTTCAGCTCTAGAGGTGCCTTGCTTTCGGAGTTCGTAGGAAGAGAGGGTCACTCAGGAGGAGGCAGTGGAGTTGAGTGAAGCCTTAAAGGTTGGTGGACTTACTGTGGGGGCCTTGGCACTCTGAAGCAAGCTGGACTCCTTTCACGGCAGCCTTTCCTTCCTTGCTGTGGACTTTCCTCCTGGGAGACAGGCTGCAAGCACAGATCACTTGTACCATTCCTTAGAGCTCTTTTCTGCTCCGGGGAATCCTCCACTCAGGACTCAGACATATTCGCAAAATCCTATGTTTAGATGGTAAAGTCACTTGAACTAGTAGTAACTTAGGGTAGGTGAAACTGGCTTGCTATCAGGTCACCGTCATTGGATTAATGGTTATAAAGTCCAACTCCCCACAACAGCCTTGAATTCTTCCGGGATCTGGCCCCTGCCAGCATCTCTGGACCCCTCCCTCGCGTGCCCTGTTTGACGGTCTTTGCTCCAGCCACATGAACTGCCTGTATTTTTTCCATCTTACTGTTCTTGATCTCTCCTCCTTTGCTCCCGTGCTACCCACTGCCTGGGATCTCCTCCCTAAACTATCGAAGCATTTAAAGCATCATGTAATAATTTGTGTAATTCTTCCCTCCACTCTCCTAATTATCCCTATTGTATTAATCTCCAAATCTGTGCACCCAGCAGAGCTTTCCAATAATGTTTATTCAATGAATCAATGAAGCAGTGACTGAATGTCCAGTTGGGTGATCTGTAAGGATCGACCTACCCAAACATGTCAGCAAATACGCCAGTGCCCCCCAGACTAACCTGAGTAGTCCTCCTCTGTCCCCCTACTGCCCTGGCACTCCCTGCCCCTTAAACGTATCATCAGAGGACAACCTTCTGTGTTCCTGGCTTCCTTTCTTACACCATGCCTTTCCTGATGTCAGAAACCAAGTCTTTCATCTCTGTCCTGTAGCATCCAGTGCAATACTCAGCACATAGTAGATGCTCAGTAGTTGTCGGTTGAATAAATAAAAGAAGAAAAGAAAGACCAAAGGAAGGAGCCAATTGGCTCTTTCTCCAGTAAGATCTTGTCATCGGTTTTCCCATTTCTAAAAGAAGTAACTACATAAGGCCGGGTGCAGTGGTTCATGCCTATAGCACTTTGGGAGGCCAAGGTGAGAGGATCACTTCCGGCCAGGAGTTTGAGGTTACAGTGAGCTATGATGGCAGCACTGCATTCCAGCCTAGGTGACAGAGTAAGACCCTGTCTCTAAAATAAAAAAAAATAAAATAAAATAAGAAGTAACTGCATAAAATGACTTCTAATACCTTTGTTCTGAATTGGACATGGGGATACAAATGTCTGCCCCAAATATCTAATGCAGTGGCTAAAGAGAGGTTAAAATGTTCACTTCACCCCCTCATAGCTGTAGACAGTCTTGCAACAAGCATTAGACTGGAGTTTGGGGAGTGGAATTTTTGTTTTCAGTTGCACCGTTTAGTAGCTGTGTCATCTTGAGCAACTCAATTTCATTTCTTCATTTCCTCTTTAGCAAAATTAGTTAGATTAGGTGAACTTTAAAACCTCTTTCAGTGTTGAAATCCTGTGATTCACAGAGTAGTATTTCTGGAATTTAAAACACTACAAGTGGCAAGACTCAACAGGGTCTCAAATGGAGGGGGAGTTCTGAAATTCTCTGCTATGACAGACAGAGCCAGAAAGAGTAAAACACCGTGATTTTGCTTAACAGTTTGCTCCTGAAGGCTCTTGGGAGTGTCAGACTCTCCAAGTGGGGGGCCTCACAGCAGTCCTCAGAGATACAGGCACAGTGCCCCAAAGTCAAGGCCGATTTGCTGCCCCTGATTCTTGGTCTGGTGCAATTCCCCTGCCCCACGTGAGGGCAGTTTAAGTATGAAATTGGCACTCAGGTTTGCTTTCAGATTTCCCTAGCCTCTTTCTCACCACTCTCCTTTAATTTTGTATTACAAAAACAGTAGATAGTTTTGTATTCCAAATATAACATTATAATATTAAATATGTTTGTTCAGACTGCACTGGCCACTGGCCCCATAGTCCTACCTTCCTCCAGAGATTATTTATGTCCCCTGGGAGTCACACCCTCATCCCTCGTTAGGAATCTTCAGTCTAGGGGATTATAGGAAAACCTATTCAACCAGCCTAGGGCAGCCAGGTTCCCTATCATGTGTCTGTTTTTCATACTCATTAGGAGAGATAGCTCCTTAATCAAATAAATATCTACTGAGCCTGTAACATGTAAAGCTCTGTGGTATAGTTCCTATCCACGAGGACTTTATTGCAGATTTTATAAACTACAATAGTGTTCCATTAATAGACAGTAAAATTAATATAGACAAACTTTTCTTTTTCTAGTGGAATAGAATAAAATTCACTCGAGTAGAGTAGAAGAAAACAGGATAGGAAAAAGAAGTATCAGAATGCATCCCATTCATAAGAGTAAAGTATTATTTTTTGAAACTTTGTTTCAACCAAGTGTAAATTCATAATAAGGCATGATATAAAAATGTTTTCCTTGTTGTGGATTGTGATTTTTTTTTTTTTTTTGGAAACAGAGTCTTGCGCTGTCGGGTAGAGTGCAGTAGTGTCATTGTAGCTCACGCAACCTCAAACTCCTGGGCTCAAGCGATCCTCCTGCCTCAGCCTCCCAAGTAGCTGGAGCTACAGGTGCGAGCCTCCACACCTGGCTACTTTTTCTATTTTTTGCAGAGACAGGGGTCTCACTCTTGCTCCAGCTGGTCTCAAACTCCTGAGCTAAAGTGATTCTCCTGCCTTGGCCTCTCAGAGTGCTAGGAATACAGGCGTGAGCCACTGCACCTGGCTGGATTGTGATTTTTAAAATGTTTGAAAATCACTTCCTTACAGTATGTCCAGGAATACAAAATTACATGAGACTTCACCTGGTGCAGAGGGGCAGGGGTGCTGAGGGAGAGCTGCAGGGGCCTGTGAGTCTAAACACCAGGGAAGGGACAGATGCTCAATGTAGACTGGTGGCGAGGGGAAGGAGGAAGGATTTGTCTGGAAAGAAACAGTGGAGTTGAGTGTTAAGGAGACTGGGAGGCTATGATTTAGTGACGTAAGAGTTGGGGGAGGATGTTATGTCTGGGAGCGCGGTGTGCACAGAACTGCAGTTGGCCCTCCTTATCTGTGCATGCTGGATCTGTTTTCAACCAACGAATGGAAAATGTAGAAAAAATAATAATAGTACAACAATAAAAAATGATACAAATAAACAATATAGTATAAGAGCTATTTACATAGCATTTACATTGTATTAGGTGTTGTAAGTAAGTAATCCAGAGATGAATTAAAGTATACGGGAGGTTGTGTGTAGGTTATATGCAAATATTATGCAACTGTGTATAAGGGTCTTGTGCATCTGTGGATTTTGATATCACGAGAGTCTTGGATCCAATCCCCTGTGGATGCTGAGAAACAACTGTAATCTGTTTCTTCTTGAATTGCAGCACTGCTGCTAGAATGAGGCTAATCTTGGGGCCTTCAAGTTTTTTGGTTTTTTTTTTTTTGAGACAGAGTCTCACTGTGTTGCCCGGGCTAGAGTGCCGTGGCGTCAGCCTAGCTCACAGCAACCTCAAATT